CAAAGTATTAGAATTACAGATCTGAGCCACTGCACCCAGCCAGAAATTTTAGATTCTCAAATACTTTCTTTATTCCAAGATAGTTTTCTAAAGAAAATAAATTGTTCTCCATAGTTGCATTATTAAATTTTAAAGTGCTGTTACCTGAAATTTAAAATTTATCAGTGCATTTGGAGTTTTTACAGAATGCAAATCCTAGTGTCATTTCATGCCAAGTTTGTTTAAACATTGACTGCTGATTCCTGAGTTCAATGATGTGAGTTCCTAACGTTCCTATCTGCCTTTTGGCTTGCAGACATGCATACACTTTCTTATTCAGAGGAATTGATCTGGTTGTTGGTATAGAATGAAATTTGTAATTTCTGTAGGGGATAAACCAGGTGCCTCCTGGAGCTGCTTTTTCTGGTTTCTTGGAGGCTAGAATTCTCTTTAGGTTAATTCTGTGGGTTTTTTTCCCCCTCCCATGTGGTTGTTTGGGTTGTGATTACCCCTTAGTTTCCTGGCACCTTATTAATTTTACTATCATTTAGATTCCAGAAAGTCTTCATCTCCTATCAGGGTCAGCACATTTGAGTCTTTCTCTTTGTTTTTCATTCTATTGGTCTGTGAATCTATTGTTTTTTTAATTTTAATTTTAAAGTTTATTTCATTATAAATTTGTGGGGTACAATTCAGGATTAGGTATACAAGTGGTCATTGTATAAGTAAAGTTTGGGCCTCCCTTTGGTCCCCACTTTGCCTGGTTTGAGATCAGGTACCCTTATTAATGTTATATGGCCTCCCCCACCAGCAGTTTCCGGCTACTGTCAATTCCCTTCTTATAGTATTATGGTAAATGTTCAGGGTCCACTTATGAGTGAGAACATGTGGTACTCAGTTCTTTGTTTCTGTGATAAGTCAGTAATTATTATAGACTCTAAATCCAAGTTGCTGTGAAGTTCATAGTTTTGTTCTTTTTTAGGTCTGTGTAATATTCCATTATGTATATGTACCACATTATTTTTATCCAGTCCAGTTTTGATGGGCAGCACTGTTGGTTCCATGTTTTTGTGATTGTAAATAGTACTTCAATAAACGTGAGTGTGTACATATCTTTTTGGTAGAGTGACTTAAGTCACTCTACCAGGTATACACCCAGAAGGTTGATTACTGGGTTGTATGGAAGGTCAATCTCTAGTTCTTTTAGGAATCACCACATTGTTTTTCATAGAGGTTGAACCAGTTTGCATTCCCACCAGAGGTGTTGAAGCATTCTCTTTTCTCTGCATTCTTGCCAGCATCTGTTGTTTTTTGTTTTGCTAATGATGGCCTTTCTTGCTGCAGTTAGGTGGTATCACAATGTAGTTTTGATTTGTGTTTCTCTGATGATTAGTGAGTCTGAGCATTTTTTCATGTGTCTGTTGGCTGACCGTATGTTTTTTTGAGAAGTGTCTATTCATGTCTTTTGTCCACTTTATAAAAATTATAAAAATGTGAGTATAATTCAGGGTTAGGAATACAAATGTTGATTATGCAGGTACCCTTGTTGATGAGGTATGCCCCTCCCTCCCCTAGCAGTTTTCCTCAACTGCCAATCCCATCCTCCCTCCCCTGACAGTTTCCCACTACTGCCAATCCCTTTCTTATAGTATTAAACTTGTTTAAGGTCCGCTTATGAGTGAGAACATATGGTACTCTGTTCTTTGTTTCTGTGATAGATCACTGAGTATGATTGACTCTAAATCTGTCCAAGTTGACACGAAGTCCATATGTTTGCCTTTCTTTATTTTTGCCCACTTTTTAATGGAGCTATTTGTTTTTTTCTTTTCAGCATGTTTGAATTCCTTGTAGATCCTGGATGTTAGGCCTTCGTCAGATATGCAGTTAGCAAATATTTTTTCCCATTCTGTGGACTGTCTCCCTGCTCTCTTGATGATTTCTTTTGCTTTGCAGAAACTTTTCAGCTTGATGAGGTCCCACTTATCTATCTTATCTCTTATGGCATGAGCACTTGTGGGTTTGATCAGGAATTGGTTGCCTATTCTGATTTCTGTAAGGGTGTCTCTTGCATTTTCTAAGATTCTTAAAGTTTGGAGTTTTACATTTAGATCTTTGATCCATTTGTAGTTGATTTTTATGTATGGTGATAGGTAGGGGTCCTGTTTCATTCTTCTGCATGTGGTCAGCCAGTTTTCCCAGCACCATTCACTGAATAGGTTCTCCTCTCCCCAGGGGTTGTTGTTGGAGGCTTTGTTGAAGATGAGTTGGTAGAGACATTGAAGTTTTGCTTCCAGAATCTCTATTCTGTTCCATTGGTCTATATGCCTGCAATTTATTGCTAACCATTTTGGGAGGTCATAGGACTGAGTAGAAATGATTCTCCTGTAGTGTATCCTTCTTTGTTAGATTTTCTTCTTTCAACTATTAAAATAAATTAAATTTAACAGTTTAATTGAGCAAGGAATACCTTGGGAATTGGGCAGCCCTCAGAACCAGAAGAGGTTCAGAGTGCTCTGCTCCTTAACATGGGTGGGTAGCATTTATGGGCAGAAAATGGAAGTGAGGTACAGAAATCTAACTAGATTGGCCACAGCTCAGCATTTACCTTCTTTGAACATGGTCTCCTCAGTTGGCTGTCTGTGATTGGCTGAAGTTCAGCTGCTGTGATTGGCTGATACTACTGCTAAGGCTTTCAATTTGTTTTCAGTTTGTTAACCTACTAACAAACTGTTAACCTACTAACTTAGGTTGAAGTTAGTTTCCTAGAAACTCAAGGTATGGAGGCATCCTCAGATGAAATTAAGTTTAACACAGAGGAGGAGGTCAGGCCAGGCTGAGAAAGGTGAAGGTGATATAGGGGAGGAAAAAATATCTTTTCTTCTGCTCATCTTAGATTCTCCAACTGGTGCTCAGTAAATTAGACTGGCCAAAGACAGACTAACAGAGAAAAACAAACAGAAAGTTATTAACATGTACATTGCACATGTACACATGGTTGCATTCAGTGGCAAGTAACTAAAAGGGGTGACTGGAACTTGGGCTTAAATATCATTTTAGGCTAAACAAAGGAAAATGTTCTGGGCAGGGAGGGTAGGTTATGGGAAAGTGACCATGGGAAAGTATGACAAACAAGGATTGTTTAGTAAAGTTTGTTGATTTAAGTTGGGATATTCTCCATTGACAAGTTAAGACTCTTTCTTCCTGTTGTAAGAGGAAAACATCTTTATAAGTGGAGATTTCCTTTCTAAATGTCAGTTTCCTTTACAAAAGGCAAACTTGTATCCTGTTTTTAGAGCTTTTCCTGCTAGTTTAATGTGGCCTTTACCTGAAAATAATCCATATGCCAAAGAGGCCTATTTTTGAGTGGCATATTCTAGTATTCTTTAGTAGAAATGGCATTATATTTGGTGTTGTTTCCTTTTGAGACATTGTTATTGACAATATCCATGGACAGTCTAATCTTTACTGGGGGGCAGGACCAAGTTCTCTGAAAATTGTTAAATGGTAGAAAAACAGGACCCTTATAGAAACAGGATACATAGTCCTGGTTCTAAGGATCTGGTTTGAACACTGTGTCTTTTTATTACTTGCATGATTTAGAGGAAATTTCTTTCAATTTTTTTGGACTTAAGGTACCTCAATTCTAGAATGGAGATAAAAATATATTCTTATAACCTAGTGTACATTGGTAAATTCTTCTGGACCAAAAAAAAAAAAAAGAAAAAAGAAAAGAAAAGAAAAAAATAAAGAAAACAAAACCCAAACAATTTTATGCTTATATATAGGTATATATTTAGATTGCTTTAATGATTGACTATTACCCAGTTTGAGGACTAGTTCATTTGCTTTATGATAATTTAACATTTGCTCAAACTTTGCATTTTGAATGAATGAATGAATAAATGACAAAGATGCTTTTTTATGGAAAAGTTGCTTTCTGAATTCTTTTTTTTTCTTTTTCTTTTTGAGTTGCAGTCTCACTTTGTTGCCCAGGCTGGAGTGCAGTGGCATCCTCATGGCTACTGCAGCCTCTACCTGCTGGGCTCAGGTGATCCTTCTACTTTAGCCTTCCAAGTAGCTGGAACCACAGGTGTGCACTGCACCACCACACCTGGCTAATTTTTTGATTTGTTGTAGAGACGAGGTCTCGCTAAGTTGCCCAGGCTGGTCTCAAACCCCTGGATTTAGGCAATTTTCTCACCTCCACCTCCCAAAGTGCTGGGATTACAGGTATGAGCCACCGCACCCAGCAGAATTATTTTTCTTTCCACAGCTCTTTTAATCATAATGTTCTTGCCTGATCAGTGGGCTATAGCTTTAACTGTAAGTGCTCTCAGGAGCCTAATACCAAAGAATAAAATATGGATAAAGACTCTTTTCTTATTTGGTAAGAACTAGAAATTGGTTGTAGCACATACAATCTATTAATGCAGAGAGCATTTTTCTGTGTTTTGAAGGGAATTCTTCTGGGCAGACTTCAAATAAGACTAATTATTCTATTTACTTGTTGAGGGAAGCTTAAGAAAATCTCTTCATTAAATTAGAATATAATTAGGACCTTGAGTATTTTGAGAGTTGGGGCAGAAAAATTAATTGCTTAAAAGTGCTGGGAATTTTTTTCTTAGACATTTTCAGCCATTTCTTTGCTTTACTAGTGTTTACACATGCAGGGAACTTAACCTCATTTATTTCAGAAGTGAAATTAGAGGGTTTTGTTGTTATTTAAATAATTATACTTTATTCAGACATAATCTGTCTAATAGAAATAGATAATAAAATGTCCTCCAGGGTAGTATTTCTTCTAATGGTGTAATCTAGCTGAGACATAAATTGTTTGAACTATGCTGGCTTTCTGTGTCATTAGTATGCTAATTGTTCATAAAACAATATTTTAGGGCTTTGTTATTTTAAATTTCACTGAAGTTGAATTATTTGGAATTGGTGTAGAGGATGAGAACAAATTATGTTTTTTAAACATAAACAAGTACAAAGTAATCCTTTTATTTATTTTTTCTCTTTAGGAACCTTGGGTAATGTGGAACATGGGAATCAATATCAGATTAAATTGATGTATGAACATAATCTTCAGAGAACAGCTTGCAATATGACATATGGATCATTTGGTGGTGTAAAAGGTAATTTGCTTTTAATCATGAGTGTGCTATTTCAGGTGACAGATTTTGAATATTGGGTCATATAAAAATGGAGGTTATATAAAAATCTCAGAGAGGGTTAAAGTAGATATTTTTTTGAAACCTTTGTATCCAAATACCCAAGCAAAATAATAAAAGAGGAAAACTTTAAACCTTGAATGTGTTTGGTTTTCATATAAACAGCATTTTTTGTTTTGTTTTTTGAGTCAGGGTCTCGTTCTCCTGCCTAGGCTGCCATGCAATGGCAGGATCACGACTCGCACAGCCTCGACTCTCTTGGCGCAAGTGATCCTTCCCCCTCAGCCTCCTGAGTTGCTGGGACTATAGTCATGTGCCACCATGCCTAGCTAATTTTTTTATTTTCATTTTTTGTAGAGACAGAGTCTTGCTATGTTGCCTAGGCTGGTCTTGAACTTCTGGGCTCAAGCAATCCTCTCTCCTTGGCCTTTCAAAGTTTTGGGACTGCAGGCATGTGTCACCATGCCCAGCTGTCAGCACTTTTATATTATCTACAGAGACAGTTCTAAAACTACCTTTCTTATAGATTTTGTCTTTTATGTCTTAGCTGACTGAAACAGCTTTTCTTTTCTTTTTTTTTTTTGAATTGGAGTCTCACTCTGTCTCCCAGGCTGAAATTCAGTGGCACATTCATGGCTATTACAGCCTTGACCTGCTGGGCTCAGGCGATCCTTCTGCTTCAGCCTTTCAAGTAGCTGGAACTATTGGCGCAAGCTACCATGCCTAGCTAATTTTTTGATTTATTGTAGAGAACAAGGTCTTGCCCAGTTGCCCAGGCTGGTCTGAAACCCCTGGGCTCAGGCAATCCTCTTGCCTTGGCCTCCCAAAGTGCTGAAATTACAGGCTTGAGCCACCGCGCCCGGCCAAAACAGCTTTTTTAATGGTGGAACTGTGCCTGTCTCTTTCAGTGGAATAAATGGTTAAACTCATTGATAGGGAGTCCCAGTATACCTGCTATAGGCAGGGTGAAGCAAACGCCTCTCTCCACCCTACCTACCTCCAGGGCTGCCTGCACAAGGGCAGCTGGAAGCGGGGCAAAGGGAGAAGGAAATACAGACTTGATGCTGCTCATCAAGCCATGCTGTCAGCACAGAGTAAATCTACCCAGAGGAAGGAGTGCCTTTTCTAAATTTCACAAAGTCTCACCTTTACCAAGTCCTGACTCGGTGAGCCTGGATTTCTCCCACCTTGGAGATTTCTTTTTTTTAATTGTCAAAAAGGCTACCTGTATTGTGCCCATCACCAGTGCTAGGTGCTTGCTTGTGTATACTCTCTTTTGATGTTGGAGTGGGTGGTTTCTTATTTACAACACAGCTTCTCTCACTGCCCCATAGCAAGGTGGTAGAGGAGCTGGTGGCGCTGGATTGCAGACAGGAATCCAGGTGGTGATACTGTGTAATTTTGTGGCACTGTGTGTTTATGTATGTATTCTCATGTATACCTGTAGAACATCTGATTAGGAATTTTATAATATTTTAGTTCTTTCTCTGGTCTTACGTTTTTATGACTTTATTGTTTAACTATTGCATTTAACAAGTTGCCTATATTAGTTTTTTTATGGTATGAGAAAATGACTTTATCTTGGAAATAAATGAATGATACATTCATTTATGTGAACTCTGTTTTTCAGGTATAGATAAAAACAAGGCTTAGAGGAATTTGGGCATAGCAATTAGCATCAGGGATATTTTTGGTGGTGATATGCAAATAAATGTTTTGTGTAACTAAAGTGATAAGAAACAAATCACTTGCCTGGGCTGGGAAACTGCTAAACTTGAGTAACAGGAATGTTTAGATTCTTTGAGTAATATGGAGATTTCAAGAATCAGATCAAGAGAGGAGAGAAGGAGCCATGATTTAGGTGAGAGTCTCTTGGTATGCCTCTTCCTACTTTCAACTTTTAGAACTGATTTTTACTTAAAAAAAAAAAAAAGTCTGACCTAATTAGGAGACCTAGGTCTCTCTTGTTTAATTTGCTATTTTCAATTCACTTTCCCCACTAAATCCTAAAAAAGGAAATTGCTGAATTCAATACATCTGGAGTCCAAGAAATTATGATATTATATAAAAGTGCTTTGGCTAAATAAAAGTTGTTTTTTTTTTTTTAATAGTATCACAATAGTTCTTTAGGTCACATGCCAAATGTTATCTTATATAGATTGTACTGTACTGTTAATTTTGTCATTGTCTCAAGTTAATCCAAAATAAAGAAATTTCTTGCTTTTGCGTAACATTTTTGCTAGATTTAATAATAGACTTTCAAAGTAATATGATGGAGTTTGGGACATGCTACCCTAAAATATGACACCTTAACATTAAAGAAAACAGAAGCAGGAAGCTTACTCTCATCTCCCCTTTGCCTTTCTCCCCTGAAGCAGGCAATAAAACCTAGGTAGGATTTTTCTGACCTTTTCTGGAAGCAGACCCTGATGTGAGAGGTGCCCTCCCTATACCTGGAAGAAAGGAGTAGCCTTATCTCTGAAGAAGAGAGGTCACAGAGAAGAATCTGGACAGGCCTTGCTAACTTCACCTAGTTTATTACCATTAGATTATACTTTTAGCCCTATCATGTTTTTCCGTGACTGTCCATTCTTTATTCAACCTAACATAAAAATACATACATTTAACTGTTTCTTTGGATCTTTATTTCCTTATGAAGCTCCCATGTCATATAACATCTGTATTAAATAAATGTGTGTACTTTTCTCTTGTTAATCTATCTTTTGTTATAGCAGCCATGAACCTAGGATGGGTGAGGAAAAGGTGATTTCCCCCCTTACAAATGATAGTTGCTGCTAGTTTTGAAAAGAATGGATAACTTTGTGTTTATATAATACTTTTCTTCCCTTAAATTATGTCTTACCTCAGAGGCTATTATGACATGTTTTATTTTCCTGTTGTTAGGAAGCAAAGCATTTCAGGATTTGAAACAAATAACCGAGTAGTGGAATCATTCCATTTCATGGGTTTGAAGCAATTACATAATATCATTGAGGTATAGGGACAAAGGGAAAAATCCCTTTCACTCTCTGAAATTTCACTGAAAAATCAGCTCACAAAAGGAGATTAATAAGAGATTAATAAGAGAAAAGGCATGCAAACATATTAATATGCACATGGGAAAGAACCACAGAGTGATTAACCTAACCGGTAAGTGAAGCTTATATACCACCTCGAGGTTACAGAAAGAATGGGGCAGGACTATGGCAAAACAGGTTATGGGAGGGATAGAAGAGGAGGCCTGGCTAGCAAAGGTGGTCTGATTACGTATAGATGAAACCTCACAGATAACAGCACTCAAAGTGAATAGATGGTAAATGTTTCCTTCAGACCTTCAAAGGTGTCAGACTCTGAGTTGATTCCTAGGTTCACACAAGGGAAGGCCTCAGAGAAAATCTGCTTGTATCAATGCAGATTTTCTCGACAGATGCAAATCTCCCCCATGAAAGATGATCGGTTTGCAGGGCCCCTCCTGTTTGCAGGTCCTCTTAACAGTTACCTCAAAATATGCCAAATAAGTATATTTTTTGGTAAAGTATTTTGATGTCCTTTAGAGGTATCTATAAGAAAGTGTGGAAAAATCGTGGAGTGGTCTATTAGCAAAAATTAGCCACATTTGGGGGTTGTTGGGAGGAATGGTAAGTTATTGCTAATAGGTACAGGGTTTCTTTTTGGGATGATGAAAATATTCTAAAATTGAATATGATGCTGGTTGCACAGCTCTGGTAGAGCACTGAAAAGGATTGGGATGTATACTTTAAAGGAGTAAACTGTATAATATAAAAATTATATCTCAATAAAACTGTTAAAAATTAGCCATAGCATAAAGCCTAATGCTAAGGAGGTGTGTAAACTGAAAAAAATGACCGAGGCGTGTCTCAGTCGGTTTTGAGGTTTATTTTGTCAAAATTTAGGATGTACCTGAGAAAAAACGCATTTCACAGCAGCACCTGTGATCCGTGCCTTTTTCTGGTTTTGGGACTTTCAGTTTTTTAAAGGGGATAGAGGGGGAAGGAGGGGAAGGATGAAAAAATAAAAAAGGGGATGGAGGTTGTTTATGAGGCAAACGTTTATGTTCTTGTGAAGGCTTTGATGAACTCCCAGTTAATTTACATTTTACATATGAAAAGAAGGGGTAGAGGACCAGTCAATTATGTGTTTGTCCCACACTCAGTAAACCTGTATTTCACAGAGGATAAAGTTAAACATATGGGAAGATAGAGTAGAAGTCAGTTATGCATTTGTCCCCCAGTGGGCTCAGGGAAGGATGATTTTTAGTCTTGTACCTGTGATTGTAAAATTTAGTCTTGTATCTATGATTTTAAGTCCAGTGCCTGTGAAGTTAAACTGTTAACTACATTGCAAGGTGAGATCCAACAAACTCTGCTTTAGGTCTAGTCCACAAGGAGGAATATGTATTCTGAGAGATTTTGGGGGCCCACAAGGAATTTCCTTGCAAGCAATTTGTGAGGGAGGCCATCTGGGGAGGAATATAGTCTTCTATCCTTGGAGCTATCTAAGAACAAAAGAAAGGCAGTTTTTATTTACTTTTTTGTAATGACTCAGTCCCATGGTTAATTTTCCCTTTGGAATAGTGAGTTTGGGGTCCCAAGATTCTGTTTTCTTTCGTAGGTGACAGTATAGTCTGTACCATCAAACATTTCTCATAGCCATGTAAAAAAAGAGTATTATACTCTTAAAAAGCAAGTTGGCTGTTAAGAACTATGAAAATGTTCTTAGATGCTGTAATGTGGCTTATGGGAATGTGTATTAGGAAATGATCCAAAATATGAAAAAGATATATCAAATTGCCATATATTTGCTTCCTGTCCTTCCTTCCTTCTGTATAGACATATTTGTATTTATTAGTTATATGTAGAAATTAAAAATAATCTAATTTAGATCTAACTAGACTGGCTAAATGTTTTGATGCATTGATTCAATGGGTTATGAATCTATTAAAA